GGCGGGCGACTGCCGCCGGCATCCCGTCCTGCCGGGATGTGCTGCTGGGGAATCTGCTGCCGGGGTTCGATGCCACCCCGAGGTGACGATGTTGGGACGCGCCATCACGGGCGTTGGGCCCCACACCAAGGGAGAATCCCACACCTCGAGGTCGAGGTGGTCTCCTGGCCCTCCCAGCGAGGAGAACCGAGGTGGGCAAGCCCCGGAGCAGCGTCCCCAGGTCCAGCATCCACCAAGCACTGGGACTTGGCAGCCCATCCTGCAGCCAGAGCAGCGGGAGCGTGGCACGGTGTGTCTAATCCAGCTCATAAATTCTACCAAAAATCTTTCCCACTGTAATTTGAGAGGGAAGCTGAACGCTTCATATTTTCAAGTCATTTTAAATCCAGAAGGTGATACGATTGTCTTGGTATTACCAGGTGCCTTCCTCTGGGGGCTGGGATTCGTCGCAGTAAAATTAGGCATTTAGAAGTGTCTGTCCTGGGCTAGCTGCGATCAGGCTTTGAAGGGGCTGATCCATCCCCCCAAAAGCACAGGGACCCCGTTGGAGGGGGTCTTCACCCCACCCAGCCTGAGCCTGTAGCAGCCCATCCACTCTCGGAGCGGTCAGAAGCCGCGGTGGCACGATGCTGGGGGGGGGGAGCACCCTCCTGCCCTCGTCTGCGGTTGCAGAGAGGGGCTGGCAGCCCGTCCCCGAGCCGGAGCGCGCGGCCACCAGCCTGAAAGGAAGCAGATACGATTCAGGGTCTCGTTAATGGGAAGGAAGATTATGCAAATGAGCAGCGTTTGGCAGGGCTGGAGCAGCAGAGGCAAGAAGGAAGCGAGGAACTGTCGGTGCCATCAGAAATCAGCAGCAGTCGGATTTGCAGCCCCCAAAGCCTCTCGATGCTCCTGACTGCACACAAGCCCGGCTGCAGCTCCCACCCTGGTAGGAGAAGCACCCCAAGATCACCTCTGCAGCAGGACTGCCTGCGGTGCGGTCCGTCCATGCGTCGTCCAGGCTTGGTAGGGGGTGCTGAGCAGGGACCACCACCCCTGCCCGCCTTGCTCTGCAAGACAAGGTTTGTTCCAAGGGCTGGACAACCCCAGGTGCCTAATTCCGGATTTAATTTGCCTGGGATTCACCCCAGCGTGCAAGCCCAGCCTACCAGAGAGCTTGGAACACAGCAGGGTCAGGAGAACATCGTGATGTCCCCTCAGTTGACACCCGTTGAGGGCTTCACCGAGCGCATCTCCACCGCTGCTTGCGGGTGGAGACCTTAGGATGGGCCCTCACAATACCGGGCAGCACGAGCCAGCCCAGGGCTGCTGGAGGACACCTCCTGCCAAACCATTTCCAACACTTTGAGGGCTTGGGAGGAGAGGTTCAGATGGGCTCAAGCAGGCTGGAAGAAGTCGAGGCCGTCCTTTCGTTCCTCCAAGGCTCCCGAGTCAGCAAGCTGCCTTCCCTTTTGCGCGAGCCGCCAAGGACCGCGCAAATAAATCGGCACCAGCGCGCTAAAAATAACCGCAGCCGATGGCTCCGTCATTTATATCCATAGCAACATTGTTTAAAGCCTTTTTCCTGCCCGTGGGCTGTCTCACGCTTGGCGCTGAATGCCACGCCGGAGACTGGCAGCTCTCATAAGGAGCCCGAGCCCGGTGGAGAATCAAACGCCGGCCCCAAATGTGAAGAGGCTGCAACTCCGCGCTGTTATTTCTGGGCATGTTCATCTCACAAATGGTCTTTAGTCATAGGCTGTTATCATGATGATAAGCCTTCGGCTCTGAACTCCTGAAGCAATAATAAAACCCAAAGCCGCTGGCATTTGTGCCATTTAAAATCCGCTCTCCTTGGGGAAAATGATCCTTTTAATGATTATTAAGCCATTTTTCTCTAGCGTTGCCCAGTCTTGGAGCGCTTCCAGAATTTATAAGTCATATACAGCCGTTGAAATAGAAAGAAGGTGGCTTTCTTTTTTATTATTTAGGCCTGGCCTACAGGTTCCATCGCTGCTCTTGCCTCCGTTGGCTTCGGGTTCGTCAGGGCAGGCGAGCAGGAGGATCACCCAGCGCATGGTCAGCTAGCCAAGAAGCTCATCCTGACATGCCTTGTGCCACCCTTGGAGGATGGCGGGACCAAACGGGTCCCATCACATGTCCCATCCACGAGGAAGAAGCCCCGGCGCACCTTCAGGGCCATCTTTACATTACGGTTCTGCTCTTGCATCGGATATGGAGAGCGAAGGCCGAGGCTTCTCCCCACTTTACCCCAAATCCCGGAGACTTTTCTTCAAGGAACACCTCAGCTGTGGAGCCCCTCGCCCTGCGCTGCTTGCCCTGCATCCCTGTCGCTGTTTTCTTTTCTGCTGGCTGCAAGCCGCCCCTAGAAATGCCGATCTGCTTTGACGAAGGAGGCTAATAAACGGCAATTAGGATCCCAGCTCTTGTGCTGCTCCCCTGGGGTGCAAGAGTGGGGGACACACTGACCCCCGCCGAGCCGTGCTCTCCTCTCCAACCCCTTTTCTCCCAACCGTGCCTTCAGGATGTCCACCCAGGCAGGACAAGGACATTTCCCTTCCCAAGCTCAGGGAGCGAGGCTTTGCTAGCTCTCCCGGGCTCCTCCCGCCTCCAGACGGG